GCCTGGCGCTGCACCGCCCGCCGCGGCGCGGGCACCATGAGCGGCCCCGCGGGCTTAGCCTGGCTCTGCGCCTTGCCCTGGCTCCTGGGCGCCACAGCCCCAGCCACCCCCGCCACAGCGGCGGATTTCGACCGGGTCTACGTGGGGACGGTGAACATCAACCGCGAGGAGATCTACTCCTTCCGCTACTCCAGCAAGCCGGGCCAGGGGAGGCTCCGCAGCTCTAGGGAGCCCAGCTGCGAGGCTTGATGATCTCCAGCTGGGGCGGGCTACCCCTCCAGCCAGGCAGGGAATGCTGACCCCTAGGCTTTGCTTCCTCCCCCCCAAGCAATGCAGGGTTTGCCTGGGCGCCAAGCCCCACACCTTGCATTAGCTTCCCAGCCCTGCAGGAGGTGTAGGGCTTCTCTTGTCCCTCCCTCCTCTTTTCCTGGGGATTTTAGGGTGATGTAACTATATCCTCCCCCCCAGTGTCCACCTGCAGCTCTGAGCCTTTTCCATGGCTCCTTCTCAGCCCCTGAATTTCCCAACATGAAAGAAACCCCCTCCCCCATTCATCTGGGCAGGAGGAAGGAAGTGGCAGCCTTTAATTGCATAGATTGGTGCTAATAAGGTCACATCAGCTGAGATGAGAGTTATTCCCAGGCCATTTTCTAGGCAATTTGCCCCTTTTGCCCAACTTCCCCATGGTTAAGGGCCATAGTCAAATTCCATAATTAACAGGGCCAACACCTCCTAGATGCCCTCAAATCCTTTTGTAAGTTATCTTTTCATACTTTAGTTTGATGTCTAAGATCAGCATTCTCTTCTGAGATGTGGGACCACAGATGTAAGAGTCTCAGTTGCAAATTATTTAGGTGACTGGGGGAGGGCGGGGAGGTCGACTGATAGAGGTTTGCTTAGTTTTGGTGGTAGTGGGAGGAAACCTATTCTAGCCTAGGTTTTTTTTTTCTGCATTACCCTCACCTACAAGATCTAAATATTGAGTCTTTTCCCATTATCCTAGTTCTGCATGAATGATTCCCTATGTTAATATAGTACCTTTACATTCTAATGCTGTCGTTTTTAGCTTGTGGCCCATGGATACCTGGGGACCCCACAGACTATGTCTAAGGTGTCCCTGAAAGGTTGCTGTTACCATAGAACATTGATTTTTTTTTTCAGCCTGTGGACCCCTTAGGTCCACAGACTAAGCCTAAGATTTCCAAAGGGGTTTGCATTTTTCATTTGAAATGTTTTAGGGGTTGGTAAATGGGGGGGGCAGCATACCCGTATGGACAGACTTGTTCTGCATAACTGAAGGAAGGATAGGGGATGTTTTTGGAAGCTATATTTTTAATGCTCTCTAATAAGACCAAAAATGAGTGACTGGATGCTAACAAGAAAAACTGGATTTTTTTAAAATAAATTGACCTCTGGTTATAGGGCTGCCAACTCGATTGGACTGGATGGACAAGACTCCATTGCTGCAAATGGTGCCTGGTCCTACCACGTTGGCAACCCTACCTTTGGAATATAAAATAACCTGGCACTTTATGGATTTTCCTTTCTTTCTTCCTCTCCCTTGCCCCCCCTGTTATGTAATGCAATAGATTCATCATTAAGGCTCGAATGCTGTTTCAGTTTTTTGTTGATGTTCATGATCTAATCAGGTTTTGCTTTCCTGGTTCATGGAAGAACTGGACTGAGAATAGTGATAGAGCCGTGTTAGTCTGGGGTAGCTGAAGCAAAATGCAGGACAATGTAGCACTTTAAAGACTAACAAGATGGTTTATTAGATGATGAGCTTTCGTGGGCTAGACCCACTTCCTCAGATCAAATAGTGGAAGAAAGTAGTCACAACCATATATACCAAAGGATACAATTTAAAAAAATGAACAAATATGAAAAGGACAAATCACATTGCAGAACAGGAGGGGGATGCTGGGGGGGCGGGGGAGGAAGGAAGGTAAGTGTCTGTGAATTGATGATATTAGAGGTAGGGAGAGTGGGATGTTTGTGAGTTAATGGTATTAGTTTCCCCAATTATCACCTCTATCTTGGTAATGGGTGAGATAGTTCAAATGTTTGTTGAGTCCTTTTTGGAAAGTGTCGAATTTTAACATGAATGACTGAGAAGGCTGAGTATATGCATAAGCAATAAGTGTTATTGTAGGGTCTTTTGCTAATCTGTTAAATGAGTTATGCTTCCCAAGGTGATTTGGTATAGGGATGTAAGCGACTACTTGTGTAGTTGACTACCCAATAAGCCTAAGCTTATTAGGTTGTCAAGTCACTGCTCGACAACTCGCTTCCCCCTCACCCTTGTTGCCTCTCTATCAGAGGTGGGGTAGGGTGGGGGGGAAGCAGGAGCTGATGTGTGTGGGGGGGGGAGGAGGGGGGGGCCCCTTAAAAGCCAGTTCCCCCCAGCATCGTCTCTACAGTGCCGGATGGAGGGCAGGGGGGGC